GAAACACCGTCTTTGTCATGGCCACTTGTTCATACCCTTTCGTCATAGTTGTGGACAGGATCAGAGAACCTGATCTACTATTAAAAAAAAAAAAAATTAAGTACACCCCCATGCCCTCCAAATGTTTATGGTAACTGTCCATACGTGGAGATTGGCATAGTCAGCTATTGAAAATACACTACACGTTTTAGAAAATCCTTTCCGTTGCAAGATCTGCTCAAAGCCTTTGCCTTAAAGTGCAATTTGTGGACATCTTAGCATATGGGGGGCTACCATCACATATTGTATTAAAACCTCTGTGGAATTTCTCAACCTTTTCCTGAACTTAAAACTTAACTAGATGGCCAGAAGTATACATCTCTGAAGGTACACAACCTTTTAAGAGATAGTTAGCTGATCACAGATTATTTTTTGATAACTTACTCAAAGATTTTCAGAGATAGTGATGCAGGCTCCTAAAACACTTCCACGCATTTGAAAAGTTCAGGTATTGCAACAAAAGTTGGTAATCCAAATGGATCGAATAAAATTTTAACAACTTCAGATTTCATGGAGGTTCAAAAGCAAAATTTGGACTAATTCTAAAATCTGAAAAATATATTCCAGGTTTAGTATTTTGTTATTAACTCATTTAAGTAACCAGGACAGTGACTAGCATTACTTCCTGCAGTGCTAGTATTTGACAAAGATATTCAGACTACCTGTGGTAGTACCATGTTGGGGAAATAACATGTATAACATGGTCAAGCTTTTATAGATTTTCCTTATTCATTAATAAATATAATTCCATTTTTTCAGCACTGAATAGGTGATATGCTTAAAAACACTGAATGTATTACATCACTACAACTGTGGACCTTTATGAACTGCAACAGCAGAATTTTGTAAGATCACGCAGTATATCATGTTACCACATTACATATTGGTATTTCCGCTGTGGCACGATGAAACCCACAGTCCGCTGCGTCACCAACACTTTATTAAAACACCAGTGTGAGGCCTATGACTATGACAAATATCATTTATGTTACAACATTCTGTAGCTCAGTGTTATCCGACAAACACTGCTTATGTATTTGTGCCTACAATCTGTTTCTTGGTTTCAGCCCCAAATTATACTTGTACACAATAACATTGCTTTCTGTGAGGAGCACCAATTTAGCCAAAATGCATTTAGTTAAATCACAGTAACATACCATGGTTTAGATACGCATCTGAAAACTGTTTAACACAGTTTTCTCCTCCTAAGGTCACCATTCATTTAAGATTTTATTTTTTTTTTATTCAATAATCCACTTTTTCAGATGGTATCATCTGCTCATTTTCCTCACATTTGGTCTTTCAACACACTTTTCGGAGTGCTGCCAGTGCAAAGGGAACACTTCGGGGAGACTGCAGTGTACTAGCAAATCCTCAATTACATGCCTAGTCTGCTATTGGTTTCTTTAATACATTAATAAAGCTATAAATTCTGGAAATCTATAGTGTGGATCTTATCAGTAGCATCTGTCGCTGTATGTGCACAGACATCGTCTGAGCCTGATAAAGTGCATGTGTATTGCTTTACTGACCAGCTTTTACACCTTGAGAATAAGGGCTTTAAAAATACTCCCAACTCAAGAAAATGAAAACAACAACAATGAACTATGAGAATCCCATGCAGCTATGAAAATTGAAGGCTTGGCCATATGACCCGTTCTTCATAGACAGTACTTTACTTTCTGTAAGTAGCCCCCAAGGGATTGTTTTCTTTGTGAGAAAGCTCGGGTACCATTCCCTTTGCAAGTGCTATTTTCAGAATAAAATATCCACTGCAAGTCAGGGGGCAGAATCTGAGCCTCTGTTTTTAAAACATGACAGCAATCCGTGCCAGAAGCCTAAATAAACACTTGCCTTTTTTTTTTTTTAAACTAGCTTTATTTTGGTTAGTAATTAGCATTTGTAGATAAACCAGTTTGCCTACTTAGTCTTAAGACTGGGGCTTAATTTTTATTATGAGTGGGTGTTGCCCATGAGAGCATATATTATGGGGCCTCAGAGCAAGTGCTACAATTGCATCGTTCATTCTTGATACCAAATTTCATCATTGGCTTACTGTGTATTTTAATTACTTGACCTTGGTGGTTTTTTGTCTCTTCCTCTCAGTGTTCCCAAGAAGACATTGCAGATAAACTTGGCATGGATATCTCTGCAACAAAAGCAGTGCGCATAGCAAACCCCAAAACTGCAGAATTTCAGGTGAGATAATTCAGGTCAAATTTTGACAGCAACATTGTCACAGATTGTATATCTAAAGAGGAAAGAAAGGAACCAACAGGAAATAAAATTGATAAACTATAGAGCTGCTTTTCCTGCATTAAGAAGGTTGTGCATATTTATGCGCTCAACTTGCTAGCAGTCATTTTCTGTTACTCTTTCACTGAGAAATACCTTACTCGGTGTGAAATACTATTAGCTTTTCAATAAAGTAAAACCATGCTCTGTATGACAGCGTGTGGCAAAATTGAGCTTTACAGCAAATCCCAGATGATTGATCAACTCTCACATTTAGAAAAGCCATTCAATATGAATGGAACTACTAGACCTGGCAATCTCTAAACTTCCTGAGCTCTGGATAGGAAATGGTATTTTAAAAATTATTAACTGTTATTGCTCTTTTTTTTTTTAATTCTGTATTGCTCTAAGTATTTTAATATCCATTTCTAGATCATTTGATCTTTGCTAGAACAGAGAATAACTCAGGTACAGTATTCTCAACAATTCTGAAAATACCTAAAAGTGTACCCATGTTTTTTGTATTTCTTTTAGAGAGTGTTTTTTTAAAAAGATGTTTTCTTTAGTTTACAGAGAAGGGAAATTTAAAGGCTTTTTTTTGTTTCTAACCTAAGAAATACAAATGTAAACAGTCTTCAGAAAGGTTTAGAAAAGTTTCAGCAGTCTGTGGGTATGAATGTTTTGTGATTTATGGGTTTTTTTCCTCAAGATCTTCAGTAAGTCTGATTTCTCTGAGTGTCTAAAATACCTTTCTGGATCTTATCTCTAATACTAAAACCAGTCTTCTGCTGCTCTCAGATTCAGGAACAAAATTTCTGGGTGCCTTCATGTATTTTCTCTTCTATTTGGTACCACGAATAAGCAGTCATGCAAGACACCGTTGTAACCTGTTTAGACTATTATCACCTGTTCGTATATATGATTTGGCATGGTGATTACAACTGAGCAATATAGAACGTACCACGAACAAACAGTACTGAGTGTGAACAAAAAGAGAAACAGCGGCAGCCCCTCTAGCCAGGCACAATTTCAGATCCTGTTCTTCAAAGACTGCAGGCCTTTGCAGTAGCGATGCTGCTAAGCAGTTATATTATTGGCAGAATATTCCTTGTGGCAAAAATAGCCCCAAGCTTTTAAAATCTGTAGGCCTCCCTGAAAACTGGGAAGGATTATTCACTGTGATGCACTGTAAACTTTCAGCTTTAGATGTTAACTGTGATGGGGTTCTCAGGATGGCTTTTCCCCATCCCTTATCCTCCGCCAGCAAGACAAGGGCAGGATGATGCCAGGGACCCTCTTCCAGCTGAGTGTGCAGCTGGAACTCTTCATTGGTTAGGAAAAGTAGAATAAATAGACAGAAATGCTGCATGCCTCATGATAAGAAGTAACTATGGCTGAGCACGTGGTAACTTTTTACCTGCAGTCAAGCAGCAGACAGTCACTCCCATCTCTTTTCCATTAGATTTTTTTGAATCGGACTCTTCCAGTTTGAAAAAAAAATAAAAATAGACGGTGCACTTCTAAGGAAATACCTGAATGGAGAACACAGGAAATATGTGTGAATATATCTGTGAGAACACTAATATGATTGCCTCCTGCCTTGGTTCTTTGCATACGTTTTCTACGTATTTCAGGTTGTCCACAACTGCAATCTGAATATATCCATTTCTGTTACTAAAGTTCTGCCTATATCATTGATTGATATCAGGACATATCAAGATAACATTTCAGATAGCATTTAACATTTCCAAAATAACACTTAGTGTTTACCTTTTGCATAAGTGAGATTAAATTTATGGGAATTTTTTTGCACTTTGTTCTGTATTGTTTGTTTTTCTACCCTGCGCTGCAGCTCAAGCATCTGTGAAATGATTCCTATCCTTAAGCTCACATATATGCTCTTTCAGAAAATGCAGTAGAAAGAACGTGCAGAGAATGTACATTTTCAGGTTTAATATTTCTAACACAAAGATGCTCAAACATAAGAGATTAGTGCAGTGTTTGCACCTGACTACTTTTAAACTCCTGTTACAAGTGAGCAAAACAAAAAAATAAAGAAATGTAACATGAGCTGTTTTGGAAGGTATTTGACTTGCAGCAACCGCGTTTGTCCTGCAGGTGGCACGTACAACCCTCCTTCCTGGGCTGCTGAAAACCATTGCGGCTAACCGAAAGATGCCCTTGCCTCTCAAACTCTTTGAGATTTCTGACATTGTAGTAAAAGATCCTGATACAGGTAAGAGGAGGTTCCTCAAAATCTTTGATAATGGAAATATATGTTTACATACTAAATGGTAATAGTAAGTAAATCTGTATTTCTTTAGAAATACAATAATCACTACGTACTACGTTCTGGTTTTTGAGTTACATGCAAGAGTTAAGAGATTGGCATAACAGGCTACATTTTAGAGTGGCTAGAGATACGATTCTCAGAAGTGCAAGTGAGTACCTTGTAAATACTTTTAGGCATCAATACCCATTAAAATCTGTCAAGAACACTGCAAGACTCCAAGAAAAAATGCAAGACAATATTGCACCAAAATAGAACCTGCTCTAAATCGCTTGTGTTGATGCACCCATTTTTACTTGCTCTTAATCTAGTGCTCCTTTGCATTCTTATCAGGGCTGTAACTCATGAGAGAAACTCCCTGCTGGTAACGTTTTCAAGCGGCACAAACCTTGGAATGTAGTAAACATGGAAGGCGTGCTGCTATTACAGTGCTAGAACCTGTTTAAACTGCTGCAGTCTCAAAGATGTGCAGTGCTGTGCCAACTGAAAAGCGGCATGCCTCGAGCCTGGGAATGGCGAGTTGTACTTGCAGACTGATTCTATTCTGGAGAGCTGTAACCCAGAAGAAAAAACTGGGGTCGGTG